GAATTTGTAACACAAACATTTATTTGTCAGTGTCAATAACTTGTATTGAATTTGAATTAAAAATTACCTCTTGAGGGTTTCTACTGCAAGTACATGTATATGTAGTTCATTTGTAAAAATCTAAATTTTAACCCGGCCACTACCAGCAATTTTGTTTGGCATGCTCTTGCTTAAAATCACCCTTTAACTAAATGCTCTAAAGCAGGCACATTCTTATGCATTTCAGAACTGTATTTTAAGATTTTAACTGTATTTGAAAATGTAAAGCAACTGAATACATAGAGCTAGGTATATATCATTTACAAGTTATTGTAATGCCAGTACATGTAAATCTTCACACTGTAATCTAATGAAAGATAATGCTTGAAAAATTCACTCTGGGAGTAAGATTTTAAATTTGAATCAAAGATTTTGTAAAGTAATCACATTCTACAAAGCGTGCACTGTATCGGGTACTTGGGAATCATATGATTAAACATTATATGATTATAAATAAAACTACTTTTGACTGAAAGTTTCTGAAAAAAAATCAAGAATGGAATCATGCAACAAGCAGCAGTGACTTTGATAACATGCATTGACTTCCACATTTCTACAAAAACATTTCTTTGATCAGGTATGATATATTCTGAGAAAATCTCTTTTCCACAGACAGCCATCATTCATTTGATGTGAGAATTTCTTGCTGAACATGTGTCCACCTGATGAAAGTCCAAATTTTTTGTTGACCTATAATTTAAAAAAAGTAATATATTTTACATAGCAGCACAGATGCTGCATAACATGATAGTTATATAGATAAAGTTGTGTCCATATTTCTTATACATGTACCTCAATAGTCCATCTGCCAGCACCCCTTGCTCAATCATCCTGCATTCTGACCTCCAGTCTTTTTTCTAGTCTAGGGTAAAGTAGGGTTGTTTAAATTTTCTCCTAAGAATTAAACAGGAACATCCCTTAGACTATTTTTTTTTAATTAATGGAAATTGATTATAAGATTAAACAACTTATCTCATCTGTATTTCATTTATTGATTTAAATGAATGAAGATATTTTAATAGATTCTACCACATGTATAATGTCTTATATTATAGTGTATTAGATATAAATAAATAAACATTTTTTATCCTAAAAGTACAGAAAAGTAAAAAAAAAACATACATGTAATATAAATAGTTTTTGAACAATAATGTTTCATTTTGCTCTATTTATAAGACATTTGTGTTTCAATATTATTGATATTTCCACATAAAATATCAAGTCATTTTTCCGTTTGATTTGTACCCAAGCGGAACACCTTACTTTTCTAATAACTTGATGATTGTTGCGTCTTAAACAAAGTAGTCTAGTTAAAAATATAAAATTCGTTGCAATCATATACAAAAAATGCCATTTCTGTGAATTATTATTCATAAACTTGACGAACACACGAAATATATCCTCTTCAAATGTTGACAAGTCGCGGGAATAAGCAGACGAAATATTGATGACAGATCAATAATTTCCGTGCGAATTCCCATAAATCAATACAAACCAGCATGCAATTCAATTTCAAAATTATAAAAACCTTCAGACATATACGTATAACTAACTTACATGCTCACTGCACACGACATGACATCAGACGAGGCAACGTGGATCTGCAATCTTGCACGTGTTTGTGACCTTCAAGTTCAATGTCACAGTTGTAATTAAATTATTATTATTATTATTATTAAATACTAGTATATGCTTTGCGAAAATTTAATATCGTATTCCGATTGGCGCGCATAGCCAATCGAATACAATCGGTTTTGCAGGTATGTGAGAGCCATGTGCGAGTGTTTCGTTTTGTTCAGGTGAATTTCTATTTTTAGCATTCCTATACGTATGACTGACCAGTGACCTACCATGGACCAATGGATTTCACTATACTAATTTATATGCATGTTTTTACTAACTCGTGCACTATATAAAGTAAGAGACCCGCCAAATTCCTCACCCCAGGCTTTTGTGCCTTTACGGTAACAGATAACGTATTGGTTATATCTTAGATCGATTCAATCGATGTGTATTATTTATTCCTGATTTTAATACTGGATGCCTGGTAAGATGTTCATTAATCTTGTAATTCATTTACTTGTTAAATATATGTAACGATCTTCTAGCAGTCGTATTAATATCTTAATTGCCATTACTTTTCGTTAATGTTTAAATGTCTTTATGTTTCGTGTTTGTCTATGTCTATTGTTTTGTATGAGTGTTGTGAGTGCGTTTTTCTATTTTCTAGGTTTTTTTCTGTATCCATAATTAAATAATTAAAGACCGAACCAGTTTTGTTTTCACTGAAAAAAAAAACAAGACCCTGACCCTCTGACATCAAGCTTTCCTTTTGGCTGATCAGAATGCCCCGGGCATAAATAACTACGAATTAATTTGTCATAACTGTCCCTGGGCTTCTGCAATGCTTCGATAATGTTCACAGTTCGTAGATTTTACAAAACGACCCTCTCAGTGTTTTCTACAGGAAATGATCTGGACATGTTGACATTCGCTACTATGGCGATTGTCGCAAATCAAAGAAAATATTACAAAAAAATTATTTATTTCAAAAGAAATAGATTCAACATTACTTAAACTGACAAATTAACTAATAGTTTTTCCTTCAGTATAATTAAATATGAATTTTGCATTTTACGACTTGCATAATTTATGGAGACCCATTGACGACGTAAAATGCTGACAAGAATCCATCCTTAAGTTAATACTTTTTTTACAATTTACTGTCAACTTCAAGGTCAAATGTCAAATCTTATAGTAGTATTGAACACATCTCGTCATGATCATCCGTCTAATTGGGTTAAAAAAAATAAAACTGGAGGTAATTAATACTTTATCAGCAAATAAACTAAATCGCATATAATCTTGACAAAATTTCATAATTTACCCACAAGTGGAATAAAAATGATATAGATTCAACATTCTTTATTATAAATTTAATGCTTAAAAGTGTGAAAGAATTTTAAAGGTGGTCTAATCATAACTCCTGTAAGAATGTTCTAATTAATTGTAGCGTTCACTCAACTTCTCTGAATACAAAAAATAAACAATCTGTTGCAAATGGACGTCGTATATCCGCATGATAGATTGCATTTTATGTCTGAATTAAGATTTTAGTTATAATGAAAAATAGATCATTAAAATTGCAGTACATACAGCTTTTTTGATTACAGTTGTGGGAATATTTTCACCTTAGATCTAACTTATGTACAAGAAACCATGGTTCATTGTCCTGGGTGCTTCTGTTATACGGGAAGAGACCTAGATAACATTATCACTCTGTTATTTATGCCTCTGATACTAATATAAGGCTGTTTTGTACGGATCAATAAATTTATCTGAAAACATACACTTCACCCTTCAATGTTGATTATCACGCGTCTAATCATACAGCCTTAATATAGAATGAAAACGATAATAAAAAATGCACGATGAAAAGTACTTCAAATGTATGGAAGTCTGCAGGACCATAGGAATATAAAGTTTTTAGCCGATTTAGCTTTCAAACGAATGTTAAAATTGCCATATAAAAACGAAGATAAAATGACCATAAAACTTTCATTTCTTTTAGCATTGAAAGAAAAATGAAAGCATGGAGGAATTTCACATATTATCTTGTTAATATTTGGATGCACCCTGTTAGATTACTGATATTTATATAGCAGATTCTACATTAAGCACAAAGAGGGACAGTCTTACTAATTATCTAATTGTATCTTGCTCTTAAGCGCATCCCCTCGTGTATCTGATTATATACTATTATATACACGTGGTCGATTACTGTAATTTGGGAAATTAACACGATGGTTTTAATTTCACTACATTCATGATCTAACATTTTTTCCGCGAAATTAAACCTAAACCAAATAGGAATCATTAATTATACAGTGCATTATGGTCCTCGAGAAAATAAATCACTTACAAAGTTTGTTAAAGGAATCACTGTCAGTTTGTTGGGTATAACAGGACATCAACGACAGTTGGAAACGTGGGATAACCTGCATAACGGGCGAGCTGGACGTTTCCAACTGTCTTTGATTTCCCTGGATACCCAACAAACTAAACAGTGATTCCTTATATTTACATTTATATGTGAAATAAAATGTAAGTATAAATCAAAAATACTGTCTAATATTGAAATACTGAAATACACAAAACATTCCATGTTAATTTTAATCTCCTTAGTCCCGCCCCCACTGACGTTGGACAGGTGACGGCCCGGGAGATTGACATGCATATTAGGCACTTGACCTTTCACTTGGCGAATTTTACATTCATTTGTAATATCAAGAAATCAACACACTTAACTTTCAAAAAGATATAAAGAGAAAATAGTTGGAAATATAAACATTTGAAAATAATGCTCGAACAATTTGTATGAAAGAAGTCACATTTGTATTCGCAAGCAAGGTCATTGTATTGCCATAAAATTTGCAAATTGTTGACTTTAAACAAAACTGCTGATACCCTTGTATCATCAACTTAATTGTCCGTTGTCTGCTTGTTTTAGAATTTGTTCGTACTGAGCATTTGAAAGTTGAACGTTTGTATTAAAAACGAATGCATGTTAAATAAAGAAAATGTCTCTTCAACAATTGAACATATGGGACAAACTGGCAAACTTATTTGCAAGTATGTGAATATTGTATGTCAGATATCGTTCTTAATACAGTGAAACTATGAAGATAAGATGAATAGAGTTGCAGAAGTTTATTCAATGCTATTTTAAAAAGAAAGCAAAAAAAAAAAGAAAAAAGAAAAAAAAAAAGAGAAACAAACAAAAAAAAAAAAAAAAAATCAGAGCTAGTGTAACTATAACCTTGGAGAAACACTTATCTATAAATGTCCTGTATGTATCACGATTTATAGACGGCTGGGAATCCTAACCTTTTTACACTGCCGGGTTTTAGTAGACAATCGGCTTAGAGTTTATTGAGGTGCAAACACTACTCGTGCTTCATTCATAAAAGAGCGATTCGTCCAGACGGCAAAGGCATGAAGTTTGACGATATTTTACTGAAGCTGGGGGAGTTTGGTCCATACCAAAAACGGCTCTACTTCCTACTGTGTATCCCCGCGATAAGTGTAGGATGTTACATGTTAAATCTTGTTATTATTTTGGAAACCCCAGGTCACCGGTAAGTTAAATAGATAAATTTTATATTTACTGAATTAAACAAAAAACATTTCTATTCCAATTCTATAGCTTTGAATTACTGGGAGTTTTACAGGATTTGCTGTGAATTTCTTTATTCATGAAGAAAACACGTGCTTTATCTCATTTTATTTTATTATAATTTTTTTTTTCACTTTTTCTAAAAATAGTTTCTCGTAATTAGCTAATATTACACTTTCTATTCATAAAATAGACTTAGGTAAATTTCTAAAGGTCTCTGTTAATTACTAGTATCTTATACATTTTTACACACTACGTATGGAGTAAGAACGCCTGGTCTGTTTTGTTTCTAAACAGACATAATAACCAAGTCCAAACCAACTCGATAATATTCAGCTGCGAAATACTGTTATTTTAGCAGAATTACTGATTAAGCCACACATATTAATAAGTCCACATGGACAATGAATCATTTGTTTAGTTTTTGTTTTTACCGTACATGAACAATTTTACACATAAAATACAAGGTCAAGCAAGGGAGAATAGTATAAAACAGTTTTAATTAAAACAGGCAATATTATTCTACATAATAAATATGGAGGTTTTTTATGAATCAGCATTTTTTACATTTCAGTCTGACTATTTGAGTGATTTATTGATAGATTTATTGCCAGCGTCTTATCAATCGATTTATTTAAGGACAGGCTAGTTCTTTGTAAATATTGATGTTGTAAATAGATGGTCTTTGATACCCCATCGATTATATACTTTAAAATCTTATATCTATTTTGTGACAAAAAAGAAAAAAATCCTGTGATCTCCACATACATTATAAAGTTATTTTGTCCATATGAATGCAATATATATTGGATATACATATGATGGATCTGATGACTCGCCTATTTATGAAGAGAATAGACTTCAAGTCGGTTTTATTTCAGTTCCAATTGTGATCGTCACTTCAGTACGAAATACTTGACTGTCATATTGTAGACCGTGCAATATATTCATAAATTCATAAGTAAAAAAAGAGAAAGATTTATTTTTATATACTCTATAACTAGGGTCACTTTGCCTAGGGCCAAACGATCACGTTCTCGCGACCAACGACCGAACGTAAAGGCCTGGGACAAATTAATTACATGTATGTTAGAATTTTCTATTAAACTAAATGCAGTTTTTATTTTAGAGTATTGCACTTGAAAAGATATGTACTTTTCTAATGAACTTTTCCTTTTCATAAAATTCTGAAGAATTAAGAAATTACTAAAACTGATTTTTTTAACCAAGATTCGACATGCCTCCTTAACGACGGAGGGTACCAAAGTGCAAATAGTTCAGCTTGAGAAGCAATATATCAGAACGTGACTAGCGCAAGGAAGAGGAGGAAATATATCGATTAGTGAGTCACCATGTCAAAGGTCACGTGGAAGCAATGTAAGGATGCTGAAATTGCATTTCAAGCAAGTATGGACAGTATCTCTAACAGTTGATGTATATCGAATCTTAACTATATATCCGTAAAATATATTTCTGCGTCAATGAGAAGCGCTGTTAATTTAAGACACGTTATTCTGTCAAAAAGCAAGGTCCTAATACAATAACAATTTTCATTATCTCATTTGTGGGGGAAATCGAGAATTATACTCCAGAACAAACTAAACTGAAAAGCTATGTGCCTTTACGGAATAAAGAAATCTTCATTGTTTGGGGTCACTGTTTTACATGAATGATTATCTTTAATAAATATTTGGATTTACTTTCTTATTACTGATGTGCATCAAGGCGGCCTTTTATGTTTGCGATAGAGAGAATTGCATGGGTGCACGTTGATCTGGTTACCTTGTGAGCTATATTAATGACAATAAACAAACCTCCTCTAAGGGAATCATACAGATGATGTACACTCCAATTATACCCAGTGTATGTAATTTATTATTCGTTCCAGGTGTAAGATTCCTGGTTATGACAATGATACATTCCACGTTCAGTCGCCCTACCATGAGTCACTTATTAATATGTCCATACCACTTAACCCTAAAGACAGGAAACAGCCGTACGACAAGTGTCACCTCTACCAGTTTTCCAATGTCACAAAAACAGTGGAGCGAATCAAATGCCACGAATGGGTGTATGACCGCAGCATTGTGCTGGAAACATTTACAACAAAGGTTTGGCATTGGTGAAATAGTAATTATAGAACTCTATAATTAAGTTTTAAATATATGTCCTGAGAAGGAAGCCTATACTTCTCAGAACATGACGTATCTGAACCTTACTGTAAATAGAATACGAAACTACAAAACCTATGATTGAAGTTGATTAAGAAATCACTGTCTAGTTTGTCGGGTATGTTAGGGGCATAAACAACAGTTGGAAACTTGGGATAATTTGCATAGCAGGCGAAGACGGTTGTGCAAATTATCCCACTATTCCAACTGTCGTTAATCCCTGACATACCCAACAAACTTCGCACGTTATGCATAAATTATCCCATGTTTCCAACTATCTTAATGTCCCTGGCATACCCTACAAACTAGACTTTGATTCCTTATATTTACATAAATTGTTATACATGAATTGATATTATAAATATAAATTAAAAATGTCGTCTAATAGAATTGAAATACGCAAAGCATTCCATGTAAATTTCTATAGTCTCCGCCCACTGACGCCAGGCACAATAATAGCCCGTGAAACTGACATGCATTTAAGGCGCTTGACTTTTTCTTTCAGTTGTAAATATTTAAGGAAACACTGTTGAGTTTGTTGGGTATGCCAGGGCATTAACGACAGATAGAAACTTGGGATAATTTGCATAACGGGCGAATTATATTTACATTTATATGTAAAGCAAAAGTGTAGATTATTGTCTAATAGAACTGAAATACACGAGGAATTTCATTTTTTAATATCTATAGACCCCGCCCACCGACGTCAGACACAATGACAATCGATTCAAATTAGGCGCTTGACCTTTCACTGTGCGAAATTAACATTCGGTTGTAAATGTCGGGAAATGAACACACTTAACTTTCAAAGAGTTATCAAAGAGAAAACAGTTGGAAATATAAATAATGAGAAATTAATACCCTTTACTTTCAAAGAGATTTCCAATAGAAAAACATTTGAAAATGTAAAAACAAGTAAATGTTTCTAAAGGCGTAGGAGTGAAGTCGAATAAGGAGTAACATTTTTTTTAAATGGAACAACAACATAAACATTGATACTAAATAATACTAAATACCTACGGAATCACTTTCTACTTTGTTTGGCATGTCAGGGCATTAAACAGTTGGAAAGGTGGGATAATTTGCAGAACGGGCGAAGCCCCTTGTGTAAATTATCCCACATTACCTACTGTCTGTGTTAATGTCCCTGGCATACCAAACAAACTGGAGAGTGATTTCGTATATCTACATTTATATGTGGAATAAAAAAGGCTGTCTAATATATAGATAAGAAATACACAAAACTCACGAAGCATTGCGAGTTTATTTCCATATTCCCCGCCCACCGCGGGAAATTTACATGCATATTAAACACTTGACCTATCACTTGGCGTTATTTACAGTTGTAAATATCGAGAAATCAACACACTAAACTTTCAATGAGTTATCATAGAAAAACAGTTGGAAATGTAAATATATTAAATTATATACCATAGTGGAAATTTCTGATTTCGTCTGCTTTTTTAGGCCAACCTTGTGTGTGATGACGCTGCATGGACGTCACACATCAAGCTCATCTTCTACATTGGGGTCTTGGTCGGTGATATTGGCTTTGGTTTGATTGCGGATCTGTAAGTAGAAATCTGAGCTCAAATAAAGTATTCAAAGTTGCAAGTGTTTGAATGGTTAAATTTATTCTACGCCCGAATCTTTTTCTCTTTCAGGATTGGAAGGCGCAAGACCTTAATGGCGGCTGTGCTTCTGTGGAATGTATCTGGTTTTGCAGTATGCTGGGCCCCCGAGTACATCAGTTTTATTATTCTAGAATTCATTGTTGCTGCCGCTCAACATGGTGCTTTCATGGTGTGCAACGTAATGTGTAAGTTTAGATAAACTTTGGCGGTCATACGTTCTACATATAGTATGTGTCTTAGATGAGTGTGAATGAAGACATCCTCACAACGTCATGGGTCCCGAGCACACTCTTGGCTGTAAGACCTCCGACAAATATCATTCGATTCTATACGGGCTAACTGGGGTGACGTCTCCTGGTGAAATTACAAATCCTGATTGTTTTTTCTTATCTCTCGACTTTAAACCTGTGACAAACAACCTGTAACGCGTGCATTGCGGTGTCACCTGCTTGTCACCTGCTTACTTTCTCTCTAATTCATATGTCAAGTTATGAAAGCCCTAAATGACTGGTGCTTCCCAATGAAAAAAGTTGGCCAAAAAAAATCCAAATGAAGTTTGTCAGGGATCCCACGACCACGAATGGACTCCGGACCCTTGACGCTGTGAGGATGGCACACATAAATATTCATTCGATTAGAGTCAGACACAATTGTCAATACAATGAAGACATTCGAAATTACTTCAGAGTAATAAATAATCCATTCTATTTTTCAGGCTTTTAAAGAACTTTTTAAGGAACTTGTTATCTTAAAATAGAATACAGAAAAATTAGTTAAACATAAGATGTAAAACATCTTCATTCTAGTACAAAGCTTAATTAAATTACACCATTTATAGCTTCATTTTGTCAAGACAATTCATTAAGTTAATTTCATTGAGTTCACAGTAGCATTCAACAACTGAATATACATTTAACTTGTTCACTTAAAGTATTTATTCAGAATGCGGTTATCTTTTTTAAAAAAAACATCGAAACGTCTGATAGAAAAACTGAATAACCCTACTTTACGCATTAAATTAACAAAAAAGACAATTTAATAAGGCAACTACAGACAAGGAAGTTCGCTGGTGTCAGAAAACATGACGTTATGAATTATTTTACATTATTCCTGTGAATGATAAATTCTGACATACTCGTATATATCATTTCATAATCTAATCTAAAAATAACGATAAAAGATAAAATAGAGTTTCAAGCCATTCAAATGCCTCCATTTGGTTCATATAAATACTATAAGTTTGTCATTTAGAGAACTTGAAGAGTAAAAAAAAAACCTGCACAAACTCTAACAGTTCATGCAGTTTGATTAACTCTGATGTTCATTCAGTGCGTTTTACCTGTCAAAGTACGCAGTTTTGACGATATGTCTGTAACATTTTTTATTTACTTTAAACTTGATATTCCAACAGTATCTCTGTATTCATTACTCTCTCAGACTTCAGTCTACTTTTAAGGTTGATTGTTCCCTTGATAAGTACCATAAATCTTTCGCTTGATAAATTTTGATATTTGAGATACTATAGTGTACGTGAACCTTAAACTTTTGTGATGTGGTCTGCATATTTTTGTTTATTTTAATTAGGAAAATTTCTTGTCCACAAGAATTCACCAAAGTTCTGGTGATTTTGTTAATTGCAAAACTGAAAGCATCAGTTATCCATAATTACAATGTATATACCATTTAGACTGAAAATTAGTCCATCCTTAGTTAACAAACCAACCAGGCGTGGCAGAGATACACTCTTCACGACAAAATTGTAATACTAAGGCCAAATAAAAAAAATATGTGTGGTTCCGGTTACCCGACCTTCCCTATTTTATACCCCCGACCCTAAACTTTTTTTTTGGCAATTTTCATATTTTTTCCGGAATTTCCCCCGACTTCCATCAATGGCTCCAGTTTAAGTTTTAGTTTCAGCAATGACGGCCTCCTTGCAAAACATAGTGCAAGTGTTTAATAGTGTTAAATCCAAAGCAAGCTAGCATGTAGGTGTCCCCTACCAATATTGGCTAGTATATTATCACACCACATCTAAATGCCATTTGCAAAGCAGTGATAGGTATTATTTAGAGAAAATTAAAAAAAAATCCCTACCTACCTACCCGAATTTTTTTGGAAGTGTAACCGGAACCACACATATTTTTTTGTTTGGCCTAATCAGGAACACTCTCTGCCGTGTAACATTTAAAGCATGCAGTAACGCTGATCAGTCGAAATCCTTAATTTAGAAGAAATCCAACCATCTAGATGGACGATGATTGTCAAATAAACATCATACTACGAAGACATTGTAATCGATGCTAACACATTTCTATCTTCAGCTCTAGAACTTGTTGGTCCGAACAAGAGAGTATTTTGTGGCACTCTAATCCATGGATTCTTCACCATTGGCTTACTTTATCAATCAGGGGCTGCTTACTTCATTAAACACTGGCAATGGATTGACTTGGCCATCGCAGCTCCATTGGTCTTCTACATAGCCTTCTACTGGTAAATATTTCGCCATTCTTTTCAAAATCATTTCAAGCATCCGGTGCTGCCTTATTTTTTGATTTCATAGTGTCAATCTACATGTTAATGTATTTATAATTAATTATTAACATATCTCTCTAAAGCTATATGGAGTTTAAAAATATTTTCCTATATTTCTTATTAAAGTGTTTTAGACATCATTTTGATTTTTGATACTGTATGTATATCTGACTTCTCTATTTCTATATTTTTGTTCCAAAACATGCGGTTTATACTACATTTCTTCGACAAAAGGGCGGGCCAAATACCACGAACACGTTACCAATTTTATCTTTATTGAATTTTTCCAGTTGAAAATACAAAATACGTCTGTTACCCATGTAGATACATGTGTATGGCATGCTTTATTTTTAATTGCTATTTTTTTTTTATTCAATTGTGTTTTATTTTAGCTGGGATTATTCTATAAATGTTTTCGGGTAGTTTATCAACAAGATATTTATTATTTACACATTATGTATACAGTCTTCAAATAATATGTGAACAATACTTGTTAAAGACATTTTATTTCTTTCCTTACCCAGGTGTTTTCAACTGAAGTGTGATATTTGTTTCTCATAATAAATAGAATCACGGATGTCCGACAAGACTCGGAGGAACCGAGGGTAAAATCACTCGGCAAGGATTCTGGTGGGTTCCTGATGATGTGTGAATTAAGTCTGGTTTGATTGTATTTTGAATGTTAGAGTCTGATGTTTGTTTTATGAATCTATACATGTATTTGTTTTTTCGTAATTTGTTAATCAACTATTTCCTTTGTTTGCAGGATCATTACAATCTAGCGCGAACCTGCATCATGATAAAATAAAATCCATAGGCATTGCCCTCTTTTACGTAAACAACAATGGAACATCTTTGTTTGATGCATCTATATGTTTAATCAACGAATAGATAATGTGGGATCCCTCATTAAAGGCGTGTCTGCTTTATATATATTTACGGAAGAAGGAACTATTTTGAATTACACACGTATACATGACACAGACTGTAGATTTGTTTATAAATGATCTCTTATAAATAAGAGAGACTGACTTGAGTCAACTTTTTTGAGACGCAGCATCTAGGTTTCCTTTGTAAAACTATCATTCCACCCTGACCCCGCCGTTGTTTGGTACAAACCTGAATATACCTGATTCCTGAGACTTCATTAGCCGAGAGATCAGAATATTTACATATTAATTTGACGAATTGTTTTAAGTAGATTTTCTTTTAAGTATTCTAGCATAAAAATTAAACCTCTGGATGTGGCATTTTTTGAAAGAATATATTGTCGTGTTTCTGATATTTGCTATAATACACATAAAACATATGTTAGCTTCGCCTTTGTGCAATATACACAATATGTTTTACATATCCTTTTTAAATTGCCATTAAAGGAAGCTTCTAAATATCGGTAAATTGAAGTTTCTGGCGATACTATTCTAGAGAAAAGATCTTTTAATTTTGCAACTTTTTTATTTCTTTATTAGCTTTCTTTTCAAAGGTAGAGGACCTTTCTATTGAACTAATTTGAATTTCCCTGAAAAAAAGAGCTGCTTTGAGATATATAATAATGACATTGATAAGGTGATAGCATAATTCAATAATGATCAAATGCGCACAGCCATTGTGAAAGGACTCCAATGACCTGAATTTCCTTAAATGTGTTTTTTGATTGAAATTGTGTGTCCTCATTCGCTCAAGTTTTATCCCGATGAAAAATTTTCAATAATTCGGTAGTACATATCATACAATAGTTGACATGACTTTTGAAAAGATACATCTACTATTGAAAACCAAGGTCTGCCGAATTTCATTTGCCATTTTTGTGGCGACGTGAAACAACGCCTACATATCAAAGACTAACTAGAGAATTCTTTTCAGTTTACTAAACTCATCAAGTTTTTCTTTCAGGAAAGACTTTTTCACAGCGTTTATCATACTCATTGTTCTCATTCATGTATTTTTGGATGAGCATTCTAGCTTTGTTATTTCCGTCTATTTGAACAGGTTGATACCCGAATCTCCTCGGTGGCTTATGAGTACAGGGCGGTACGAGGAGGCGGAGGAAATTATCCAGAAGGCGGGAAAAGTTAACAAAGTAAAACTCCCTGAGAAAATTATCAATCCTTCTACAATCGAACGCGAAGAAGCTCAAGTGAAGTTGTGGCATCTCTTCTCAACAAAAGAAATGTTTGTTCGAACAACAATCCTTCTTTATAATTGGTAGGCAATGCTTCGAACTCATGGTTTGTATCGAATATTTTTTTATGAATTAGGAGATACAAAAAAGTCTGTTTTGAGGGGATTGAATTTTCCGATAGTCTGTTTATTGTTGAACAATGATTTAAAATTGTAAAAGTTAAAGTTCTTTGACATGGTCCTGTATTTGTTGGGCAGATCTGCCGATAAAAAACGTTGTCTCCTACATGAATGCATGCTGTGTGATATATTAGCATGGAGTTGTCCAAGTGGTTCTGAAGAAAATATAAAAAGTGTACAGACGACAGATGGACGATGTACAAAATAAATAATAGTAAATTAAATAATAATATTAAATGATAAATAATCAGTAAATCTCGTAGAAATTTTGGACGAGGTGAGCCAAACAGAAAAAAGTTCCTGTTACAAGGGTAACATGTCAATATAGATTAAGAATGCACATTTCTAAGGCATGTTTTAGGATTGCAGTGGCCCTGATGTACTTTGGAGTGACAATGCATGCTGGGAATATTGGGGGAAATTTCTACTTCAACTTCTTTCTCAACGGAATTGTCGAGTTCCCTGCAATTGTATTTGTGATTCTAACTATGGACAGGATAGGAAGAAAGGGACTCCAGTGTCTTGTTATGATGTTTGGAGGAGTAGCAACTATATGTACAATATTTACCATCCTTTTTGGAGGAGACGGTAAGAATCGAAAGTGTCTTACCCAACACATATATACATGTAATTGATTATGATTTCCTTGTTGCAATAGTATACAGCTCTTCAGATTCAGAAAAGTTTGAAAGTGATTTTCTCTCATTCGTAGATCTCACGTGGCTTACAACAACCCTCTCGCTTTTTGGGAAAGTGGGGTCTACGGCAGCGTTTTCTGTGATCTACGTCATGACTCTTGAACTTTACCCGACAGTCCTCAGGAATGCTGCCCTTGGTGGTGGATCGTGCGTTGGCAGGGTGGGGAGTATGCTGGCTCCATACGTTGCAGCATCTGTATGTCAACCATGTTGTTCTATTTAATTAATTATATTTACTTAAATTAGTTTAATTAAGGATATTTTGCATTCGGCATTTTTGAGAAAGCAAAATGGTTAACTGTATTACAGCAATATTCATATAAATTTTAGTTTTGGAGAGAATCAGCCGGTATATTTATTTCTGTTAAGTTTGCGTAATAAAGATATATTATTTATGCACAAACATTGACACATGTAACCGTAAAAGAAATTTGACATAGCGAGGGAATAATTTTTTTTATTAATAAAGTTTTAAATTAAAGAGAAAGCATTATGATTTCAATAGTATCTCATCAATTGTAAAAACATAATTACTAATCTCATGTTTATTTTTATTTCTTTTTTGTGGTCTCCAGTTACACAGATACGCAATTTTTGTTGAATGAATTTACATGAAGATTACAAACCAGATCTCATTTTTTAAAGGGTGCGTTGATCGATGGTGACTTTTCCACTGCATTACCACTGGTTATCTTTGGTGTTATATCTGCCTCAGCAGGACTTCTAGTTCTGTTCGTGCCCGAAAGTCAGCACAGGAAGCTACCAGAGAGTGTTCAAGATGGAATCAAATTTTATGAGTAAGTAGTATTCTTCCATAAACATGTATAGATTTGATGGATTAAAAATAATGCAAAAATAATCCACACCATAAATGCACAATGATCATAACAAAACGCTATTAATGGTAAATTGTAGCTCACTGTAGGAAATTGTAGTATAGTAAAGTAAATGTACCATAGTTTCATAGTTTCCAGGTTACTAGTATACTTTTCTCCATTGCTTCATGACATATTTTTAAACAATGGTCAAAGTATATATATATATATATATATATATATATATATATATATATATATATATATATATATATATATATATATATCACCTTTTGAACCTACAGATGTTTTTTTATCATTTTGTAGAGCGCAAGAAATTGACGACAATCAACAGAAATATGAAAATGAAGACGCATCATTACTAACGATGTCAAAGTTTAGAGATTCATAATACATATTGTGAAGCACAGGTTAAACTAAAACTGCCAAATCAGGAACAATCGAAAGTTTAGCAGTAGCATATTTTTACATAGATGATTCTTTACCAGACAGATGTTTCTTTACCGGTATCTTGAATTGGTGATACTGGATGTGGGTCTGGTATCGTTTAAAGTTAGAACAAAACTTTTATCTAATAAGACTTATTAGCCAGAACTGCGATTTTCTATTGAATTCAATTGAAAAATAAAAATATAACTAAGCTAATACATTTGTACACGTCAAAAATTTAAGCACCATACCATTGAGTTCTCATATAAATCTTCAAGTGGTTTTAATTTTTGAGAATAACCAAGCTTTGATTCTCCTATACAATCTTTATCTTAGTACCTACCCTATATATATGTATATCCCTACATCCGCTGTATGTTCATTATGTACAGTTTGTTCTATCAAATGATATGATTTATGAATTTCGATTTCCTTTATTATTAACCGACCTATATTCTTTTGAACTAATATACGAAAAGAAGAAAACTCATGCTGTGGCCTTCAATTCAACATTTAGATAATTATATCGAAGACATTTATCAAGGAATAGTTAAAGTTACTTTCATTCATACATAGACTATTTCCTATGCATATCCTAGTGAAGTCAACACAGAGTCTGTCATATCTGTTTCATATATATGACTGTTTTACTCTCTCTAGATTTTAATATGCAGTTAACAACTAAATATATGAGGAGAATTTGTCAACTTCACACATAATAGTAATATTCCACTTTGATCTGCACTTGATGTTATGTCTCCCAACTGCGATACGCAAGATCATGTTCTCTGTATGATCAATTTTTAAACTGAGTCAAGCTACTGACATTTAAATTGGTGTTATGGTCTTTCTAAGATCTCTTTAAAAGTAAGCATTTTGCAAATTCTATGATCGTTATAATGACCTTGTTACAAATACAATTTATCATTGGTCTTTTTCATGTTCCATAACATTTGTTATGCTCTAGTTTTTATACTAATTTTGACTAAGGATTACTCCGTCTACCTGATCAGTATGCAGATGTGACTGGTCGACTGGAGACGCTACCTTGTCCTAGGCACCTGATCCCACACTTGGTTTTATAAGAAAGATCATGTTAATGACTTTCTAATTATCAATTATCATTAGTTATGCATAAAATTTATGTTATAAATTATTAATAATATAGCCAGTATGAATACAGCATGTAAAATGAACAGTTCTATCACGTTAATTTGCGTGAAAAATTCGATATAGGAACAGGTTATTCGAAGTTTCAAAGCCCTTGATCGGAATTTTTACCTACTTGACGTAGAATTTAAGTGAGGCGGAGGTAAGAAAATTACACAAAATTCGGATGCTTTAAAATCAATATTTAAAAAAAAAAATAAAAAAATTAACACATTTTTAAGGAGCGTTTCCTCTACAAATGCATTGCGTAAAATCTGATACCTGATTTTAGTCCAATCCTAATCCCAGGGTCAATAATTTGAAGAAAAAACTAAATCTACACAACTTGGGGATGTTTTCAAATTTATTTAATGATTTTTGTGTGCCCCTACTATTCTTGAAAAAGATTTTTTATGCATTAATCTCCTTTATATTCCCATTTTGATCGCATATTGTGTCCCAACCCTTCTTCCTGGGCCCATGATTTGAATAAACTTGAATATGCACTACATTAGGTTGCTTATTATTTATAAATATAATTATAATAATTCCTACTCTTGATCCGAACTTGATTTTCCCATTATATTCCCATGTAGAAGTCTGATTCCTCTTGAGGCCACACCATATCACTGAGGGAGGCAGGTATAAACAGAACAAGTTTAAATCTGCAATACGTGCAGATGCTAACATATAAATATAACTAATTTTGAGCCTGCTGTTCTAGAAAAGATTTTTACCTGTATATTCCCATGTAAAATGGTGACTCCATCCTATCCACGGGGGCAAGATTAATATTTCAATAAATTTAAATCTGCACTATCTTAGTTACAATGCTTGTATATAGATATGGCTAATTATTGCCTTTCTATTCTTGAGAAAAAGATCCCCCATTTATTTTTAACATTACGGACCAACAGCTGACAGATCTGTGATAAAGAAGACTAATTAAATTCATGGTGCTTGCTACAGAAGGTTCCGATTATATAACGTGTAACTTAAAAGCAAATATAAGATATTCTTACAGTAAATTGCTTTTAATGGAAAAATTTAAAATCCAAAAAGTTCTTCTAAATGTTTCCTGCAGGAATTTATTCAGCACATACGATTAATCTAACATTTTAAATTATGAGACTGTTGATTATTTAAATTTATTGAGAAAGTAAGTTCGGTCACCAGTATCATGTAGCAGTCTTAGACTGAGTCAAAATTTCAGTCATTTATAAAAAGATTATTCATTATAAACCTATTCTTGAGAATTAAAATTAAGAACATGAAAGGGAAACAATTTTAATAATATTTCAAATTTTATGCGGTTTCTTTTATAAAATTTAAGACAATTTACAAATTTTGACTTTAGCATATGACCGCTTCATGTTCATGTTTTGTAAATAAAATTTTTTGCTTAGGTTATATTAAGAACTACAGTAGTAATAAACATAATTCTTATGGTAGGTGAAATACCATTGGTAAAGCTTGGATCGAATGAAAAAGAATCACAATAGTATATAGCAATTCTATGAAGAAAAAGATTCTCTCGCGTAGATCGCTACTCCAAGATTTTTATTAGACTGGTATCCAGAATTATTTTGGTAAAGAAAACTAAATGCTAAAGGCCGGATTGGATTTTGGGGGAAAAAATTACTATTACAGAATATTACATTGTATATATATTAGAATTTAGTACGCTATATTTATATGTTTGAGTAAAGAAAAACTCATTAATTATTGAATTCACCAAAACAACAAAATTACCCATGTGATACTGCTTTCAGATGTACAATGTTAATAACTTCCATAAAACAAACAATACAACCATGACATAACAACATAAAAGTCAGCAAAAATTCAAAATATGTAAATGATGTAAATTCTTACAATTTTGATGTCATTCAATCCGTATGCCGTGAACGAGTCGCTCAAAATGCAGAACAGAGATACAGATATTAAGCGTTAACCGAAGAAATATGGAATGAACATGAAATGCCTTTGGGCTCTTAGAAAAATATTAAATAAGCTTATATAAAATCAATTTTGAAAGTACATCTCAATAATCCTTTTGGTGTGTATAGAACTTTATTTTAGAATAGAATGATATTGTGTGTTAGTATGTATGTTTGGTACCTTATATTTAGAAGATTCATTCGGAGGATATTGAATAAAATGGTGTGTCACAAAGTTTGGAGGTTCAGTGTCACAAAGTTATTAAGATCCGTAGAATGGCTGATTTTGTAATACTGAGTGAAAAATAATTTACGCTTACGATACAGAGTGTACAAAAGTTTTAAAATACAGACTATTTGATATAAAATCAAAAAAAAATATTTATTACTTAAGTCAAGATTTGATGTTATGAAAAAGAATTACTATAGCATAGTCAGAATTATTTTGGTAAAGAAAACCAATCGCTTACATTCGGATGGCATGTTATGAAAAGAATTACTGATAAAAGTATATAGAATTACCGGTTATTTGGTATCTGCTGATGAAGAAATGGCTCAGCACACAATCATAGATTAACTATGTTTACTTCGTGGCCAACGAAACAAACAGTTCCAAAATAAATTTTTCCCTTGATTATCATAAAAAAGAATTCTTCGTAAAACATACATAATGACTCTTTGAAAGTGTTATTATAACACGGTACAATATTTCACGTCCAATTTCCATAAGAAGTTTGTAAAAACTCATCTTAACTAAATGAGTTCAGAGGACTATACAGTTAACCTCTAGTAGATGTAAGGTATGATTACATAACCTTTTCCATGGCAATCTAGATAGCTTTTTGGTCACTACTTCAGCTCGAAAATGCTCCTTATATTTAAAAAAGTCCTGTAGTTAATTTTATCATGTAGTTAATGACAAAAAAAAGAAAAGTAACTGATGATATTTTTGTTTAATTTTCACCTTTTTTGCATCTACGGCAACAGTTCTCTAGCTAATGAACTGTCCACAGCGAACAAACAAAAAAAAAAAACGCTTGAACTCGTCGTAGAACGACATAATTTTAACTTTTATGAAGAACTTAATAAAAATCTTGTAAATATGAATTATGACATAAATGCATCTCAACGACGGAAGGGTGGATTCATCGGGCAACTTGGTGACACAAAGTTGTTTCCAGTTGATACTAAAAAGATGCTTGAGTTTCTGATTGACAATATCTATGTGGTTTTTAAGACCAGACCACGGGTACTAATTGGCCCCGGTATTAGCAGATCTATTTTTGTATTCATAAGAAGAAGAATTTATTCAAAATCTTATGTATGAGAAAAAGAAAATTCTTGCTGTGTCCTTCAACTCGACATTTAGATATATCAATTAATAGTTATTTCCATTTATATGTTGACACGATATATCCGAGACAAAAGGTACCACAGAGTCTGACACATCTGTTTCATATTTGAATATTTTACTAGAAAAAGATGTTAATGGTAATCTACTCGTAACAACAAAGCTTTGTGATAAAGTTGATGACTTTAATTTTTCAATCGTCAACTTCCCTTATTTGTGCAGCAATATACCCTTATAACCTGCATAGGGTGTGTATATCTCTCAGTTGATTCGATACGCAAGAGCATGCTCTACGTATGAACAATTTCTAAAACGAGGTAAGTTATTTACAAACAAGTTGATAAAACAAGAATATCAACAGTCTCGTTTAAAGTCATTATTTCGTAAGTTCTATGGTCGATACGATGACCTTGTTGGCAAATATTTATCATTAAGTCATATGCTGACTGACGTTTTTCATACTTATTATAAGGCCATTATTTACACATTGAATTGTCCACGGATTCTTTTCCGTTATTTACCGATCATGACAAGGAGCACACGGCGGGTGTGAACGGTCGGCAGGGGATACTCACTCCTACATGGCACCTGATCCAACCTCTGTTTTTGGAGGTCCGTATTTGCTCTGCTCCCGATTTGTATTGTTTTAATGGACTTTAAGCTTGAATACTGTTCGTTATCTCCAAAAGTCAGCCATCGTGACAATTTGTCCTTGGATCCAACAAATCTTTGTTGGAAAATAATGGAGTTGCTGGTGTGGTTATGTATATATATATATATATATATATATATATATATATATATATATATATATATATATATATATATATATATATATATATATATATATATATATATATATATATATATATATACACATATATATATATATATATATATATATGAGTGTGTCTTGGCATTAGTAAATCTTGCTAAATTTTAATTTACTCTTGAATTAATAAGGTACAAACATCTTAAAGGCACTCCTAACCAGTGTTTTTTTTTTCCAAAAAAATATTCACTACTACTTAGCTATTTATTTTTTTGTTTATTGAACACACACTTTACAACCTAAGAAATAAATATGAAGTAGAATTCTACACATAACACTAATATTTAGTTTTAAAAAGAAACACTCAATTCTGTAAATAATTTTTATCCACTGTCACTTTTAGACAATTCGATCTTACCCACCCAACCACACACACACACCCAGCCACACACACACACCTCGGCCTCCCTTTAAAACAATTTTTGTCACAAGGTAATTGGTTGGTAAACAATCGCAAGTCTCTAATTATGCTACGTCAAAGTATATGAAAAGAAACATTTAAAAAAAAACAATATTATAAATTTTAGCCTGAGTAAAAGATATGTCAAATTTCTCAATTAAGTATTTCTTTGAATTTTTATTTTCATAACAAATATGAAGTCAAGAAATGGGAAACAATGAAATTCAAAAATAGTTTTATTTATTTATATATTCATCATTTATTTATTTATTCATTCATTTATTTGTATTCAGTGACTTAAGCGTGAAATGTTCTGCACTTACAGATATTTAAATTGCTAAGTCTGTTGACTGACTCTGGGTTCTACCATCTATTTGCTAAATAAAACGTGCGCCTGTTCAAAGCGAGTCTAATCAAGAAGAAAAAAATTGGGAGAATCCCCATTGCTTCTGGAAAAATTGATACACGTCTACATCTCAAAAGCTTTTTCAAACTTGCACCTTTTTGATTAGAAAGGCATAAAAGTTTGAATAGACCCCTTTCTAAAAATATTGCCTTTGAATAGTACCTTGAACCAATTTACTTTTCATGGTCATTTTGGCAAATGAAATAAAATTGTAAATATTGTTCAGATATATGGAAAGGATAAGTGCGGTAAGCCGAATCTTAATTAACAAACTTCAATGTCCTGTCCGTGTTGATCCCAGGTGTCTAAAAGGTAACGAAGTTTGATGAAGAACGCGAAACAAATGTGAATAGAAAAATATGGACCGTCAAATAATAATTTTAAGTCTATGTCTATTTCTACCTCCATTTTCAATTGCAACGGTAAGTAAAAATGAAGAATTATTTTTTGAAAGAATAATTAAAGGAAAAAAATAATTTTATTTGTCTATTTATTTTTGTTTTTATTTATTTATTTAATTGCTTTATGCTTTTTGTTTATCATTATTGGTTTGTTTGTATTGTTTTTAGTTTAAATGACAATTAAAGTCTTAAAATACAAGAAAACAGAATTTAAGGTGGAAACAAAGAAAGATTGCTAAAAGAGAAAGTATTTTAAAAAAAAAACTTACATATTGTAGTCTTTAAAAAACGAAAATTGACGAGAAATCTTCTGCATTCTTTAAGATACGTGCTTAATAATGCATTTTAATGATTTTTTTAGCCTCCGATTTTTAGTGGTTTGCCAACCTCTGTGAATGTTGGTGAAAAGGAATACGAAAACCGTCTAATTTATACGCTGACGGTCAGTGACGTCAACAATGACGCCTATGTTTGCAATTCTGCCGGAACAACTCCCACTCTTGCCCGAGCTGAAACGGAATTTAGAGTTCTCATAGATCCAAAAACTGGAAGTAAGATATTTGTCTTTTGTAAAGACTTACATATAAAAAAAAACATTTCAAAAACATTAGTTGTTGAAAGTACAAATAAACTAATGTGATAGATAAAGGCTCATTGGGATTTTCCAGATCATCTGCGAGAACATCATAGATGTAATGCTTACTTCGTTCGGGTTGATAAAGAAACGAAACTTGCAGATTTTTTTTTTTTTTTTTTGACTTTTTTTTCTTATGAATTCCAACTAAGTTGGTATTCTTTATTCTGATCTCATATACTTATCCAGATAATTTTTCTTTATTTGATTGTTGGACAATATTTAATATTAAGTAAGCTAGTACATGCTACTCATTGAAATGTTCTTGCTACACTGCCTTTATGTTTAAATAATTTCAGCCTATGGAGTTTATGCCCACAATGCTTCACCTGGTACGGCAGCTTCCCCAAACGTCATGTTTGATTTTGCTACGCAGTCCACTTACCAAATCACCATCAGATGTACGGACTCTAATGGAGAGTATAGAGAGGATAAACTCGAGGTGGACATTATCCCGGGGGATCGACTGGAGTTCACTCACTCTTCTGGTACCTGCACAGTCTATTTAATGGTCAGGATCCGGTTGCACGAACGTTAGTTAAATTTAACTGGCCGTTAACTTTACGTTAATGTGACATTAAATTTAACAGCGAGTTTAACCGGTTGCACAAAAGTTAACTAACAGTTAAAGCCTAATTAATTTTCTGATTTAACTAACAGATTTAACTCAGGTTACCTAGGTACATTAAATATTTAATTAAGCATTAAAATCAAAATCGCGGACTTGTTATCATTTCAAAACTTGTTTGCGTGGAAGGAAGAACTTATACAGAGATGATAGAAATATCTGACTTGAGCAACATGCAAATTTAATCCCCATTTCGATTTAGGCAAGATTGTATTATACTTGTATATATTGCGGATATATGTTGCGATATTATCTGCAAAGAAAAGCAAGACGAAAATATTCCATATGAGTGGATATGTAGGTACTTTTTTATCCGATTATGCATACAAGAATTGTCATTATATTTTATCAAAATGATCATCATTTTAAAAATATTTTAACCTCAGACAAGTAACCAAAAAGTAGGCTAATCGTTCAATTCAAACTTAAAGCACGTAAAACGGGGAGGGGGGGGGGGGTCATCTCCCACTTTTTGAGAGTTTTTAAAAATAATTTTCAATTTCTCCTCCCAAAAATCAATGCCTCGTGTTAGAACTTAATACTGAATAAATACTTTGTAATTGCATTAATTGTTTATACTGCATGTAAAAATGCACTATCTTTCAATGTAAGAATTCATATTTGAAGTAACTATCTTTAATAATACATTTAATATATTTTACCAATATAAGATTAACATTTTTATAAGCAAATAATTTTAGCAAATTAACATTTATGAATTGACGTCATTTGAATTATGACGTCAGAAATATTTCGCCATAGGTAAGGGAAATGCGCGTGTAGAACAGTTTTAACAGAGAGTTAACTATAAGACATCAATTAAATGTGAGTTAGCTAATTTATTTTTAATACACTTTCAAACAACATTTTTTTAACTGACAGTTAGGTAACTCGTCGTTAAAAATTTAACAGCTAGTTACGACACTAACTGGGAGTTAATTTAACTAACGTTTGTGCAACCGGATCCTGATGAATATTTCGAGTTTAAAATCAACAAAAAGACTATTATGGCTGACAAAAATTTGTTTGAGAAGAAAACATATCAACGATCCTTAAAATCATAATGATTTCTTGTAGATGTTGTGTCTGTGGATGCAAGGACTGCTACAGCCAATCAACTTGTGTATACAGTTTCATCACGTGATTTGTTAAACCATTCCCCACTGACGTATACATTGAGGGCTGTTCCAAATACAAACAGCTTTTCTATTGATTCCAGTAAGTAGTTTGATTTTAGTTAAACACTAGCTCTATTTCAACTGCACAAAAGATCTAGAAATTATGGGTATTATGTCTTTATTAAAACTAATAATTTGATTTTAAAAAGACTCATTTTATGTATATACAGTTTTTCATATATGTATATGTCAGGAAAATTCCCTTGCTACTGTTCGAATAGTATGTTATCCGCCTGATGGTTATTACATCCCAATAATCAAAAAGATACGAAACCGCGACAACTTTAGCCACTTCAAATTCTAATCTTAGAGTATTCAATTTTTTTTATACGAGGGTTGTCCCAGAAAAACGCGAACTTTTTAAATACTACCTGACTTAAATACTACTAAAAACTACCTGACCAAAATTATTCATTTTTGGCACAGTGTTGGGAAATGATATTTTCGTCATTTGACCAAATACTATAAGGTTGGAATGTCATATGCATTTAAAAACAGTATTTAAATGGTGTCAAATATCGGTGGTCAGCGCACGGCAATTTCGTGACTTTCAAAATTAGCGTTGTCATCTGTTTTTCTTTATTACACGTCTATATGGAAATATAATGTGACAAAAATATATCCACAGAAACTGTACGAAAATTAATACTTTGACGTCATAAATGACCAAAAAATGACATTATATGACCAAACACTATTATTAAGATATTGTCAAAAACGGCGACGTCCTGCGATAATGCGGCGCACCAAATTATTACTCAGTACTGTGTGGAGCAGGATATGACTAAATAAATGTTAACATGGGAAAAGAGCTGGAACGAAGGAACGACACAAATGCATGTATCGAACACTGGTTAATACATAGTAAAAGAGGTTCAAAGATGGATGGACTAGTTATCCGATGGAAGAAGCGTTAGTCCAACAAAAATGACGACAAACTGAAAAGTCTAGAGCTGGACGTCATACGTGGAGACCGTCGTTAACTATGCGAGCAGTTAAGTTTATGATCGGAGTTGGAAAATTGTCTTTTAAAAGAATTAATTCCTTGATTTATTTTTAACTGTACTGTGTGTAAAATTGACAACTCAGTAACTAAAAGAAAATCAAATGCAGAATCGAATTTCTGCTTCGGACGAATTTTTATAGACTCACAATTTCTGAGCAAATTCAAAAACTCAACGAGCAACGTTTTGACGTCGTCGGTGTTGCGCCATGGGCTATTTTGAATGATTCGTTTATCAGAGAGAAAAATGTGATTTATAGAGATACTTTATTGAAATTTCTGTGAATTATGTAAAAATGTTGATTATGGTACAGGCCAATTTTTAAGTTTAAGTGAAACAAAAAATATTGAAATTGTTCGTGTTTTTCTGGGACAACCGTATTTAAGCATTATTTAACTAACTTATATTAGTTACATTCATATAGGTAGCGGGCAGGTGAGGACTACACGGACACTGCTGGATGAAACTCAAAGTCCGGTAGACCTGTATATTTCTGTCACAGATGGACTTATTTCTGTACAAACACTTCTCAGCATAGATATTTTAAGTAAGTACAAAGGGATATTTCAAAATTCTAAAATTGATATTCAATTAAAAATTATTCATTAAAGATGACTTTTGGTTTTCGATTTTCAACCCGTTGTTGTATTGAAGAAAATAAGTCCTAATTTTAAATTTCAAATTGATTCTATACGTAGATCAGTGTCTGATAGAGTAGCTCATAAATCATTGGTGGTCATTCTCAATTTTTCAATCAATCCTTTCTTTTAAACTGACTAGACTTAAACAACCAACCAAACATAACCAACCTTCCAGCCTCTGTGTCTGTTGATGAAGACATTGCAGGAGACACAGTTATCTTTACGGTGACGTCACAAGATCTGGATGCCACTGACCCTTTGACCTACACATTCACTGTTAGTCCAATCAGTGCGCAAGGTCTATTTTCGTTTGATTCCACAAGTAAGTTTTAAATTTTTGCAGAAGTAGTTCCTGCTTGATCTGTTTTCAATTTTTAAATTAGTTAATTTGTCATATCCATATACATTAAAGATGGTCAGTTTAAGCTGTCATCTACTGGGAAATTGGACTTCGAAACTCTGTCTCGCTACAATATTTCGTTTACGATATCTGATGGAAAGAGCACAAGCGGGCCCTATCTATTGACTGTGAATGTGCTGAATGTAAACGAAGACTGCTACTTTGACAGACAGGCTTATTATATCAGCGTACTGGAGGGCACGGTAGGGATTTTTCGTCCTCACTTTTTTTTTTTTTTGCCTTTGTTCTATGGTGTCAAAATATAAAATAGTAAATATAACATCCACAGAAGGATAAAAATGCATATTTATTTAAAAGATCGTCTCAGATGATACACACGATTCTTATTTTTTATCCTTGCAAGGTTGGAAGTCAAAGCATGAACCCTAATTTCGTGGTTCGTGACTATGATGGAACTCAGCCGTACTCACTTTCGTTAATGAATGGAAACAATAGTGAGCGATTCCAAATCGACGGCACCTCGGGAATTATGACGTATGCTGTGGATTATGACGTAGATCAAAATGCTATGCCCTCTTCCTTGCAACTGACTGTTCGGTGTACAGACTCGCTCGGGAAAACCGGAACTACATTGCTTTTCATGACTATTAGGGTAATGCAAAGTTTATCAGTAACTGAAACAAATATTTTAATTCTTTGAACAGAAAATTACATGTATGAATTCGTACTTCCAGTTTACACATTTACAAGTGTATATTTAATTAGACAATTTGCTTCTATTCACAGTACTCACTATATATATATGTCTTAACAGGACATGATGCTGATACTCCCCTCAAAGTACACAATGCCGTGTCCTTAATAAATTGCCCTTCTACCTTTTATATTTCAGGATGCAAATGACAATGTACCAGTTTTTTCTCAGGGGACTTACACATTCTATGCCGATCAATATACCGGTTTGGGAAGTGCCATCGGTCAAATAACGATTACGGACAAAGATAGCGGTAGTAACGCCGAATTCACCTGTGGTGGAAGTCTCGCAAATAGTGCTACCCAGACCAACACTTACTACACGGTCGGGACAGCGTGTGGGGTTTATTTTTTATCCAGAACCGGTCTCTCCTACGGAACAGCGGTATGTCCTTTCAGCTATAACCTAGACTATAAATGTAATGTACTGTGTGGCTCCCCTTATTTGCATGCTAACTGCCAGATATACATGTTATAGATGTACATCACTGGATAATTATAAGCGATTTTTAGAAACTCAGTCCACAACAAATTTTAACGCAATGCCAAATTTCAAAATATTTCTGTTCTGAAATCGTAAAATGTTCGATAAGAATAGATTATATACAGCGCATTCGACAGAAGTCTTTTTTTTTTAAATTTATTTAATTTCACAAGCATTTGCTTATTGCCCCAGATATGTTCAAGACATTTTAGGTGAGTCTCATTTATAAAACTGAATTGTGTTTTAAAAAGTTTATCAAATATAAAATTATTTCTTTAACAATAGATTAGGTATCTGGTAACAGCTACCGACAAAGGAACACCGCCTCTAAGTTCCACGACAACAGTCAATATGATTTACATAGAGACTACCACAACCACTGTATCTACCACGACTACCACTATCTCTATAAGCTCATCTCTAGACAGCGCCTCCATAGCAGCAATAGTACTCGGTTCCCTGCTGGGAGCTATTCTTGCCGGAATTCTTCTGTATTTCTTAATCAGGTAATACCTACATATATATAAAATTCAAACCGGGTTAACTGTAAAAGAATCCTTAATTCACTCTTTTCTCTTTTAAATAGGGTTTATCTTGTGCTTGATTTTTACAGAAGACACTCAGAAAAGAAATATTTCCAAAAACAGGCTATGATATACCAAAATCATATAGTGAATTAGGTGAATGCTTTATTTTGATTTGTAAAAGGTTGTGTTACACTGGCGCTTGTCTTGGATCAGCTCCATGTGATTTTATGAATTGCTGCAAAAACAGTCAGGCAACGTAAGCACTACCAGTATATTTCAATCATGTTTTAACTATTTCTAATACTATGATATATAATGATATTATAATCTGGTCAAAATCTGTATAACATTTTGTTAGTCAGTACATAAACGGTGACAATGGAAGAACAATGAAAAAATGGATAGGACTTTTTGAAAAACATATCTGAAAAATAAAAAAAAAAGATAGGCCTAAAATTCCACAAAATTTCACTTTAATTTTTAATCAATGTAAAATAAGACGATATAATGTATTTTTTTTTCCAGAGAAAAGTATCCTCCGAAAAGGTAATAAAAACAAACAACCAAATCAACGTACAAGAACGATGATTTGTTCTTTTTTTTTTCGATAGTTAAAAACTTAAGTTGATTAACAGGTGAAAACAATGTCACTAGTGCTATAAAATATCTGGTAGCTGGAAGTTGTAAATAGAATTTCATATGCGAGTACCTTATTTAATTTGAATATTGCCTGAAAAAATATATTTTTTAATAAATATAAAACCCAAAACAAGATAAGAACATGCCTTTTATTCTGACATCATTTATATTCAGATATAAAGCTGTATGTCTATATCTATAATTCATAAAATAATCGCAAGAAAGTTTGAGTTTTGTGACAACATTGTTGGCTCCCTCTTGTAAATGTAAATGTACTTTACACAACCATAGGATCCAAATTGATACTGCTGAAGAAATGAACTACTGGAAAAACGGTAAGTTTATTACTAAATCATTATTGAGCCGTTTCCATTATAGATTTACCTATAAAACATATACATCCTTAATTAAACATCATATTACTTGTAGATAACCAAGACTACTGGACAGAAAATCTAACGAGGTAAATCATATACATTGTACAAGTGAAATCAAAAAATCAAAGTTTAAATTGACACATACCTGAATTTTATTATGTAGTGAATTATAACAAAAAAAATTAGAATTAAAATTTGCATGTTAACCTCCGAAATGCTCATACGTTCTAGTATACCTAAATAACTATTAAATCTTTTAAAAATTCAGTGTAAGTGGCATATTTGTAATCTCTATTTCATTGATCGATCAAACCATGTTGTTTAATTATACACTGTAATGGTCGCACGATTTTTCATTTTATTTTGCAAAATATTAACATTTGGTAAATATTTTCCTGATAATAAGTAAGAAAATTTGTAGAAATAATCAAGCATATAATTTTTAGTAACGCGAATGAGTACCGAATCGACAACAAAAATGGTGCATGAATACATCTATTTTAACTTTTCATTGAATTTGTTGTTTAGCGTGATCATGTATATTCTGTTTTCTTCAGATAACTGAAGTAAAAATGAAATTATATTGGCAATAACTGTAAAATATTTCCTCTTAAGTTACATAACACACACACACACACCCTCACACACCCTCACACACACACACACACAAAATTGATGCATAAATTAATACTGTGTATATATTTTTTGACTGATTTTGAATAGAAAATAACATAAAGAAATCATAGTTTTTCTTTGGTGCTGAAATATGCAACTTACTGCTGTTTACCATGTAAATCAATACAAAATTTTGCACATTTTATTTTAACATTATTCTTTAAATCTACCAACATTTTCACAATTACCCTGGCAAACATTATTCAGATTATCTTGATGAATATAAAGCTATGTGATATATGGCTGATTTCTGAAAAAAAGTTTATTCGTGTTATTTATTTATTTATTTTTGATCAGAATTGTAAATCTATACATACCAGTGAACTATCACTAATTTATCAAAATCCACGTACTTGCCAGCATTAATTGTTTACAAAAAGCAATGTATGTCATAGGTATGGAAGACGTGAATATCCAGACTTTCCCCAGGCCTCTGGGTCCCAGATGGACCGGATTTCTCCATCGAACATACCTGTAGACTTTGGATCACGTGGACGGATTTATCCAATCACGAGACCTCCCCTGCCGATTGGTTATTAGTCGTCGGATGTTATTTCCTATTATATTTAGTCACCATTACAACGTCTTTGCACACTATTTAAGTTTTTTTCTGTGATCTACTTTATTAGTTTTCAACCTGATAACCCCTTTTAAAAGTATTTTCTAAACATTATGAGAGCGCAGATTCGCAAAAGTGCAATAATTAATTGCATTGCAATATAATAAAGAAGTATAGCCCATTTATGTTAATTTTTGTCGTTTCTGTTCAATGACACATGTATATCTATCCAAGAGAGACGCATCAACATCACAACGAGCCACTTGAAAGTGATAAATATTAATCAGATTATAATCTCCAATAGCGATTTAAAATTCCCAAAACTTTTCCCAGAAGCCTATCTTTACAATAAATACATTAACTGTCATTAGAGACAAAGCACGTTTCAATAATGAATATATTATTTTATATTCAACATTCAATATCTGTTTCCCGTTTCGACGGATAAAACGTTTGAGAACATAAAGGAACTTACTGGTTTGTATGATGTAGCGTCAAAGGAAAAGAACAAAAGAATCTACAGTACCTGGCCATACATGAAAGTAAGTCGTAATTTTATTTTTACACTATATATTTCATTAAAAATGTTTTTTTTCTAAATTGTATTGTTACGGTTTTATTTGTTGCTGTTTTCTTATGACTTAAACACCATGACATGTAGAATTCTTTAAAGTTTCTTAACACAATTTCAAAATAATTTTATCTGTAAGCATTGTTGGGATATCACTTGTCAAATGCAAAATTTAAAAAAATTATTACTCTAATTTGTTAAGAAATCAGAGTACTTTGAGGTTAGTAATTTCTGTCGTGACGATTCCATAAATTATTCTCAATGATTAATGTATCATTTTGTTTAGCATTTTAAGACAAGAAAATTTTAACAATTCTGCATGATTCAGTAAAAAAAAAATCATGAAAATTGGGCTAAAATTACCTCATAATAAGTTTTTTTAAAAGTTGGTTTTTTAATGAAATATATAGTGTAAAAATGCAATTATGACTCACTTATGGCCGCATACTGTACCTCCAGATATTTTATGTTTTTAACTCAGTTTCGTAATCATGTATTGTTCAAAGTAATAATTTGTCATTCAATTCGATATTTGATTCCAAATAAAGAAATAAATTTTTAAAAAACGTTTCTTTGTCGTTATTCATATTTTTTTATTTTAAATGCGTGAAAATTTGTAATCTTATAGAATGACTATTTTGTTTAATAAGTTTGGATCGACAATGGCAAATGATTTGTATCTTGTGTCTTTGAATTCACAGCTCTAGATCCATTTTATGGCTTTGATTCTTTCACTTCTGGTCATTCAAAGGGATGTAGTGTATGTAGAAAAAATGTGTACATGTAACTTGGGCTTTCTATTGTAAGATGTACTATTATAATGTATTTTCTTTAAGATATCCAAATCTAACGAAAACTTTTAAATCATTTGATTTGCAATTAGAAATATCTTTCGCTGAAGCATACAGTGTAACAGTGCTAGAATTTACACTGTACAAAGATTTACTCAGCAGGGCAACAGTTCATAACTTTAATAGCTTTAAATATAAAACAAATTTAATTTTAAAATAAACAGATCGGTTACATGTACCTCAAAGCACTCGATGTCTTTCAAATAACGTTATAAATACATGTATTACTGTACATACCTACATCCTATTTGTAACGTACAAATACTTAAACGTGTATGTTGTCCAGTTCACGTTTCATCACAATTATATAGACAGATCCTGATTTGCCTATCCTGGTCGTAGAACTTTCGAGGATAAATAAAGGCTATGTACTGGCTACAAACAAAATGCTCAAGGGATCAGTGAATGAGATATGGAGTCAAAAATTCCTCAATGCGCTAGAAAAAGTGTATGTTATATTTCGGTAGAATGTCTTTGATTGACAAATTTAATTTTATGTTATAGTTTTCAATTGTATAGTCAAATCAAAGGGATTTTGATAATGTCTTCTGTTGAGGGAATCGACAGAAGTTCCATTATGAATAATACAAAAGCTGCAGAACATGAGTATGATGTGCAACATAAGGAGCAACATCATGAGCATGAGGCGCAACATGAGGGCAAAGAGAGACAACATGAGGGGGATTTTGGCTGCGGGATAGGATCTTGCCGTCCAGTGCCTTTGCAATGTTGTGCTCAACTCCTACCCTTCAGCGTTGCGTACGGTGTTTATGTAATGGTTTCCCAAACGATTTCTGCATATCTGTCCTCGCAGATTACGACACTGGAGAAGCGATATGGTATTACTAGTTCAAACAGTGGTGTGATTTTAGCAGCAAACGACATTGGGTATCTTGTTAGTGTGTTGTTCATTACTCATTATTGTAGAAGGTTTGTTTCCTTTTTTTCTTAAATAGAACTAAATTATTGAATTTTTTGTTCTTTTTTCAATTTTGGTTAAACCTCAAAAGCTTGACAAAATGTAGCATTCAAGATTTATATCATCAAGTTAAGAGCCTTTATTTCTCATCTACTGTTTTAGTTTTATATATATAACACTTGCAAATCTGATGTTTTGTAGGTATCATATTCCAAGAATTTTATCACTTTTTGGCATTCTTATTGGTTGCTGTTCCATATTGCTAAGCTTTCCCCATTTTGCTGATCAACTGATTTATTCCAATACGTCATCATACGAAAGTGGTGACGAAGATCCCTATCTTTGTAACCCGTATGTTAAACAAGGAAATTTGACTGCACAATGCAACGAAGACAACACCAGTAAGAGTCAAGAATCGAAATGGGTAGTTGTGTTCTTCTCGTTAATTTTCGTTCTTCAAGGAATTGCTAAATCCCCAAGAGTACCTTTGGGCACGATCTACATAGACAATTCTTCAGATAAAAGTTCAACTGGAAAATATTTGGGTAAATAATTTTACCAGACCATAAGCTCTTAAAATAAAGCAATTAAAGCAGATTTTATAAATATATAAAGATATATTTTATTTATTCAGAAGAAATTAAATTTGGAATTTAAAAAAAAAAATTCAAATTTAAAAATGCTTAACGATATGCTTAACGTTACATATATTCAAAGGTATATCTACAACTTTGGCTCTTTTCGGTCCATTTGCTGCATCACTTTTAGGAGGAGCCTTTGGGAAAATTCCTGTTAATGTACAATGTACGTAATATTTACTTCATTTACATGTGCTATTGCACTAACTTTTTCCAAAAGGAAGAACTGAGATTTATATGAATTTATAGCATTTTTTCCTTCTAATTTCCTTCTAATTTTAGTTTCACACCTGACTCCTCGTGACCCACGCTGGATTGGCGCTTGGTGGATTGGGTTTCTTATGTTTGGATGTCTGGTCATCATAGCTTCGATCATCCTCTTCTTTTTTCCCAGACGAATAAGACAAACGAACCCGGGAAATGAAAACTCTTCCCAAAGTGTTCCAGATCATAGCAAGGAGAGCCTGCTTGACAAAGTCAGAAGTATAGTAACTATATTTTACAGGCAAAACATTAATATATACTCAGTGTGCGGAATTTTAAACTATCATTAGTGCTTAATCCTATTTGAGAATAAGTGTATATCAGTTGTAAAAGATGATACTTTTTAAATATTTTTATTCTTTTTTCATACTTGCAAGTAGGTGTCGGTCCGGGTAACACAATTTCTTTTTTTTTTTTTGGTTGAATAATTTATATGTTGATCGTTTTCAGTTCTGCCTCGAACCATATTGCGATTGTTACGAAATCCAGTTTATAGTCTCACTATCACTTCCAACTGTGTTATATATTTCTGCTTTATTGGGATATATTCATTTGGTCCGAAGTACATGGAGAATGTTTTTAACATACCAACATGGAAAGCAAACCTAATACAAGGCGAGTGTATGTGCACATGTAAAACGAATATACAGCAAAATAAAATACATGTTTCATTTCTCATCAAGTCAATGTGCAAATAAATGTATCTAGATTGGAACAAAGATGAACTGATCTGTTTGTGTCGTGTTTTAAAATAGTCCGTGGTATATAAAATAGATTCAGTTGACAGAATGCTACACATTTGCACACATATAAAGAAATAGAAGAAAAGCATCAGATTCAACATCGAATAAATTTAGGATATCGAAGTTTTAAAGATTTATCAACATAATACATATCTAAAACAGAGAATACTTACTTCAGATTTTCAAAGTTTACATGGTCTACTCACGTTGAAGTGGAAATTTACAAACCCTAAAACTTGTGAAAAATATTTTAGAAAAATTGAAAATATGGAGGAAAATGTTCTTTCTTTGTCTATTTCAGGTGGAGTGAGCGTCGTTTCTGCAGTAGTAGGAACGTTCCTTGGGGGATACATAACATCTAAACTAAGACTGAAAGGTCTTGGAAGTTTGAAGATGCGACTGATTCTACTTTTAGTTATTGTTGGGAGTCAAGTCCTCCTGATATTATTCGGATGTAATAACCATGTCATACAGAAGAATCATATTCAAGCGTAAGAAATATAATTAAAGAGCAATTATATTAAATTTTTTTGTTGTTTAATTTTTTGTTTCTACAAAAAAACAGAGTATATTGCGTCTATAGGCAAAGTTTGATATTTCTTACAGGCTTCGAAAAGGATTATGATACTGACAAAGTAGTATATAAAGAATATGAATATGGTTTCTAAATGCCAATGGACCGTTCACGGTAGCTCAGTCGGTAGAGCGCTCGCTCCGTGATCGGGAGGTCGTGAGTTCGAATCTCGGCCGCGACAGACCTAAGTCGATAAAAAATAGGTAGCAACTGTTCCTTCGCCATGCGCTCGGCACTCAGAAGTGAAAGTTGCGGGTCCTTCGGATGAGACCTTAAAAACCGAGGCCCCGTGTCACGGCAGGCGTTGGCACGATAAAGATCCCTCACTGCTCAATGGCCCTGAGTGCCGAGTAAAGGTCAAAATTTGAAGCCCTTCACCGGTATATGGTGACGTCTCTATATGAGTGAAAAATTCTCGAATGGGACGTAAAACAATATACAATCAATCAATCAATCTAAATGCCAATGGATTTTACAGAGTTGATTACTGAAAGGTTGAAAAGAGTTATTCAGTTTTGTTATTTTTTTTTTAATTATTATTACATATAATAATAATGTACACTTTTCTTTTTTTAGAAATGCTGGAAATACTACTAGGTGTGATTGTGATCTTGAATCATTCTTCCCATTATGCACCACTGATGGAAGTACCTTTTTCTCTCCCTGCCATGCTGGATGTTCTAATGTAACTGGAACGGTAAGTTTTATTCTCCTTTTTAAGAAAACAATTTTCATTTCTTTAACTTTAAAATCAGTTACAATGACTTGAATTAGTCTTTCATTCGTATATTATTTTCGACTACTTCACTGGATACTTTAAAAGCATTATTTCCAAAAAAAAAAGTATGAATTGACCTTAGTGGTTATGATAAAAGTGACTGTTTTGTTTTTATTATTTTGTAAATTAACGCACATCAAGGTTTATCATGAATGCCCTACAAAAGATCGATCGGCGACTCCAGGAATTTGTGATACAGGGTGTCCGTTTCTTGTACCGTATGTGATTGCATCAGTTATCAAAATACTGGCTGCAACTATGGCAACAGTACCAACTCAGATCATCATTCTACGGTATGACACTAACCTCATCTTTAACCCAGAAGGGTGTATTTCATTCATTTTGATATATATAGTTCATTAACCCGTTTTTCTCCTACCCCTGCCGTTTATTAACTTTTAAATACAGGAAAGATTTATCCAACTTTTCCAGGCAGACCTCTCTCGCTTAAAAAGTTTACGAGACTTTTGTCTGTAAAAGTTCTTGAGTTTTTAATTATAAAGAAAAAAAAGCAAATATGTTAAGTACTTTTCTGAAATGCCATATGTTATCGATCTGTAATGTTAATCCCCCATCCCACACCCACTAACAAAATTCTCTGCGTAGGAAATCCCAAATCATTTGGTAAACAAGACTCCGTTGGTCATGCTTTGAAGCATTTTTTCAAATGTTGTATTTAATGATACTTTGACACAAACATAAAATTTACCAAATGTAGACCTAACGAAAACTCAGTGAGTTTACTGACAATCATCTTATTCTACGAAATGATTGAAAATCGAAAGTGTCAATAGACAGGAAATCTCAGTTAATCTTGGGGTATTTTGAAGATTTTCAAGATTAAAGATAAAATCGCATGAAATCAACAGAAAATATCTATAATTGTGTGAATTTCTATTTGCTTTCTCCAATATGTTGAAATGGTGTATATTCGCTTTACACAACCCGCAAATGTAAAAACCATTTTAACTCTTTTAATAAAGTAAATATATATACTATCACAAAATACAGATATTCTATATATCTTGTAAAACAACATACAATCAATCTGTCTATATATCTTACGTTATAACGTATGTTTTAGGTACGTAAGTGGACAGGACAAGGCACTAGGAATAGGATTTATGTCCTTTGTTATGTCTCTGCTCGGTAAGATAAAAACAAATAATAACTGGTATAATATTATCTTCTTTCTTTTATTACAGTGTAAGAAATTAAGATGATATCCACAAAAAGATATTTTAAAAAATACAACAGTTGTTCTAGTGAAATTGACATGTTCTAATTTTTCTTCCAGTACGTATTAAAAAGAGAATACTCAACTTCTATCTATTCTTTCAAATGAAACAAATATCATAAATCAAATGTATTTTTATCAAGTGTACCTTCCCGCACCGTTGGTAATTGGAAAATTGTTTGATGGGACTTGTCTTATTTGGAAGAAAAAATGCAGTGTGTTGGGAACGTGTCAGTTGTACAATATCGAAGGGATGCGGTTCATTCTTATGGGTATGGAAGCTGGGTTCGTTGGTCTGGGAACACTCTTGCAAGCTGTTGCAGTATACATTGGTATTAAAACTAAACTTTCCAAAGTAGGCAGCAATGAACCCGTTATAGAAATGGAAAATGATGATAAAATTGAGAATAAATAATTGGAAATTATAAATACCCATAGCTTCGTTTATCGTGTTCTTCTTTTCTCTCAGTTATTGATTTTAAGGGTTTTCAGACTGCAAAACTCAACAAATGTTCTTTTCTAACTTATCTTGGTTTTATGCACATTTCACAGCTGATAAATATGTTTTCTTTTCTTCTTACTCAAGTCAAAGAATCAAAGGGGTTTCTGATCAAAAGATGACCGTCATGTCATACTGTAATTTTTTAATGTACCGGATGGTGGTAGCTACAAAAAATATTATACTTTCTCGTTAAATACTAAAATATGAATTGTTTAGATTTGTAGTTTTAAATTTACAATGTACTTTGTTTAGGGTTTCTAGGAAAACAGTGGCAGATCCAGAAATTTCAGAACAGGGCACAGTTCAAGGTTGTTTTATTAATAACAGACGGAAGTGTCCAAAATCTAAAATCTCAATACAAAAAATCCCAAACGGGGGGGGGGGGGGGGTCAAGCTCGGCGCCCCAGTGATGGATCCGCATGTTTGATCGACAAATTATTCTCGAAGTTTTGTTTACATGTATGATAATATTTCTAATATTTAGAAATTAAAATAAATTTTCTTATCGCAAACATATTTTTAAAAAATTGAGAGTACAAACGACTTGAATTGGAAACATAAGGAATTACTTTGTCAACGTTGACAACAATTTCATTTCCTGTGCTAAAGGTATTTTCATCCTCACAATTTTATGGGTTCGAAGTAGAAAAATTGCATTTATTTTCACTGAACATAGTTTAAATTTACTAATCATCGCTTAGTAAAGGACAAGATAGGCTAAGTCCCCTTTTTGGCCCCTGGTTGGGGGTGTCTTTAAGAATGATGCAACATTTTATCAATAGAAACCTGTTGTCACCCCTGCCACAAAATGAGAATTGGTTCTAAGTTTTGGGATACATAGAGGTCACAGGAAGGTCAGAAAAATATGTCCATTTCCGAATTTTCTCATTTTTTATGAAAATTTTCATAGATTGTACAGTGTATATTTTGTTTCAGAAAACATAGAGCACAAGCTTGCCTATCTGCCAAATTTATATATTTCATTCACTAGTATCAGATGCATCTTATATATAAAAATCTCAGATAGGCAAGCTTGTGCTCTATGTTTCCGAAGTAAAAAGTATCTCAAAATTGATGAAATTCCACCAGAATTGAGGAAATTCGGGAAAATGTCCTACTTCTGCACCCTCTTGTGGCCTCCTTGTAAGCTTTGAATCAAAAAATTAGTGCTGGTTTTAGAACAAGCATCATTTTAATTTCTGATCTACAAACTATCACAATTTTAACTGTGCTCTGATTTTTACATCAAATAAGGGGCCAGATTTGGCGGTTACCATACCTTGTCCTTTATAGGTTGTCATATTTCTTAAGATGTAAGACAAAAATAAACAGAGGTATATACCGACATTAAAAATAATATATTTTTAGTAAACAGTATGGTAAAAACTGATTCAGATAGTTCTAAAATAATTGTTTCTTTATAAATATGTTTGAATTGTGAATAACAGAGATAACATTTTACTTGAGAATTACAATTAAGAAAAATACTACATGAGAAGGAGTTATTGTCCTTTGCAATTTTTTTTTAAAGATTGAATAATTGATTAAATAAAGAAAATATTAAAATTTTAAATTCATTTACTAAACAATATTATAAATTACATCTATTGAAAGGCATTCCTCCAAAAGATATATTTCTATTGGGTATGAATTAATTTAAATTGATAACAGATTATGCGAAAACCAGTGACATAATAAGAGGATGGAAATACCTTAAATTGTGCGGGTCTTCATCTAATATACGATTGGAAAAGAGGAAAAATACTGTAAAAGTAATTCTTTGAAAGGCTCTTTTAAAAACGTAGGTAATAAAGTATGTATTTTAAAACGTATATGAGCCTCTTTCTAACCCCCCACCCCCACCTCCTCCACCACCACCCCTCATCTAACCAAAGACCTATACTCGGATACAATATTTAAGGGACATTTACATATTAGTTCAAATATTCCACATCTTGTTTCTCCAATTTTCTAACCTTTTGAAACTTGAAATTTGCACAGTTTTAGCCACAATAGTATGATTTAAAATTCTAACAAGCTTTCAGCCTAGTTTGGATTACGTTGGTATGAGCGTGTCATGCAGCTAAAGTAAACCATGCAAAAATTCTCAATTGTGCATGCGTAAAATGCTAAATTTTATAAATCACAGAAAAATATATTATTTTTTTAAATGAAACCATCTACATGCACGATAAAGGAGGTAGTACCTTTTCTGTTCAGCTTGATGATTGAAATGCTTTGTACATGTACCTATGTTCGATAGTTAACATTAATATTGTAACAGAAAAGTTCCCTGTTCTGCTCTATGCCCCCCCCCCCCCCCCCTCTTTTCCAAATGTATTATTTAAACATCATTTTGCATACAGACACATACTTTTTTAAAATATATTTTCACGAGTGTGAAGCAAAACAATCCTATCTCAGAGTGCATTTTGGGTGTTCAGGGATTTGGAAAAACTTCCCAGTATGTTGTACTGTCAGTACGGGTGCCCTCGGTTATTTATCCAGAGAATATTGAATATCTGAGTCAAGGCTTTTATATTACACCTTGAGAATTCTATTCTAATCTTTTCTTTCTTGAAAAATTACGAAGTTATAAAAATGTGTTCTGAAACAATTCTACCTGGCGTCTCATTTTTTTTAGGGTCAGTAATCTTATCTGGATAAGTCAACATAAAGTATGAAGACAACAAAATAATCTCTGTCACTTGACACATAATTCCTATCTGAACATTTTCCGTTTGGCTGAACAAAAATCTAAACTGTATTACAAAAAAGGGTTTTCTTGCCAAATAACTTTAATCCAAATGAGTGATTTCCGTGTACAGAATAAAGCGAATTTGTCAATACTTATACAGGGTTATATTCACTCCGTTTTATTTACGCCCTATCACACTTGCTATCGATTCTTTGAACTCGCCATGTTCTATATTCGCCCACTTGTGACGAGGGTGAAAAGGCCGGATGAAAATAAAACGGGGGCGAACATTACCCTTTCTACAGTATGAAATGAGCTTAAGCCAATTACATTTGTACAGCACAACAACTAGATGGACAAAAGATGCTTAACTTCAAAGAGCACAATAAAGTTACATGTATCTAAAACCATGATTAACATATTTCACTTTACATGCTTAACAATGCTTTTAAAAAATATAGATAGCTCATAGGAAGTCTTTATAAACGCCTAATAATAGGAAGGATTTTTAAAAGAGTTTTGCAAATCTCTGAAATTATGAAATGTTCGCTGGTTTCAACAATTTTTACATTTTAGGATCGGTTCCTTGTTAATGTAAAGAAGTTAAGTGGAGATACTCTCTCTCTCTCTCTCTCTCTCTCTCTCTCTCTTGGTAACAATGGTTGTTTTCAGTATCGTTGAATTTGGAGAATTATGATAATATTGAATTATACAAGGTAAACGGAGCTTTTGATAATTCTCCCAATCATTGTGCCTTGGTGTTTTGCATGTTCTGAAAATACATATAACGCTCTGGTTACAACAAAAAATTGTAATAACTGTGCAAAAATTAATACACATGCAATTATAACACCTGCATCAAAATCAATTATAGAAGCGCAAAATAAAGTTATTGGTCAAATGATACAAGGGCAATACTGGGCGTGATCAAGGTAAACGGTTGCTGTCAACGGAAACAATTATCTTGCAATTGTCCAAATACCTGCGTATAGTTGTTTTATCATAGCGAAGCAAAATTACAACATATGTCGTGAAAAATCCAAGGGAAATTCGTGTAGTTTAAAATAGTTTCAAAGATTAATTTACTAGACTAAGTATCGGATACTATTTCACAGCAGCTGTACATGTAGATCAGAAAAGAGTATAAATTTATTTAATTTTGATTATAGAGGAAACATACTAGTATTCGATGTATAAAAAGAAAGATTAATTGAGAGCAAATTTGTTTTCCAGGACTCAAATAAACGTTATTTTAATGACAAAAGAAACATTTTTTTTTAATTATGAAACTTTGCAGTCAGATAAATACAAAATATAATTCCACAATATACAATATTAGTAGTTTACTTTTATATATAACAGTACATAAAATGTGTTGCATAATTACAAATGACATGGAGTCAAGATGGTGCACATGTTCCATAGACACCGGTATTGTGACATTTAAATTGTTGTTAGAGGAGGCAACTTTGTTTCTGATAGCGATCTTAATACTTTATCAAAACTAAAGATATGTACACTAAATAAATCAGGAACGTCATTTCATATGGTTCATATGATCTATTGAATAGCTCTTTATTTCAAATATTTGATTACTTTGACCCTTCCTGATTTTTCAACAAGCCATAATTTGTCTTCTTTGTCAATGCTTATTCCTCTGGTATCTTCTAATCTAAGCTTATCAATGACTACAATCAATTCCCCATCTGTGCTAAGGATATGGACACAGTTATTTCCATTGTCAGATACAAGAATATGTCCCTGACTATCTGTTGCAATATATTTTGGATCAAAATTATGACAAAGGCTACTTCCCCTATAATGAAAGCGAAAATTACCCTCTCGGTTGAAAATGGCTACGACTTTAGCGTTCAAGTCTGCAATGCACATATCGCCATTTATGTTTTCTGATATGTAACATGTAAGAATACTACCACCCTTAAGTTGAAAGAGTTCATATCGTTTGATGTAATTTCCAGTCTTCCCATCAAACATTTCGACTTGAAATAATTTCCTCCTCCTTTCACAAGTAACAGCAAGGATTATTCCTGATGCAGTCAGACAGATTCCACCTGGTCCCCATTGCGTTTTAATCAGAGTTCTAAGTTTTCCATTTTTTATAACATATATTTTTCCTTCATTATAATCTGAATACAATAGTTCTCCATAATTATTTACAGCAAGACCATTAGCTGGAATATTATTTGTTGTGTTAATTTTTTCAAATACCTTTCCTTTAATATCTAATCTTGTCATTATGCCGCCACCATTTATCCATGCCTGTACACTGTCTAGACAAGCAATGTCGAACAGTGCCTCATATTCTGTTGAAATATTGGCGATGATTTCTGGGTCTTCCATGGGGATTTTCAAAGATATCTTTCGCAGCGACCGTTCAATTTCTGTTCTGATCATATTTTCCTGGAATGGTTTCACTATGGAAAAACTAAGATCACCTAACATTTTAGAGAACTCGACTCCGCTATCTGTGCCTGGAACAAATTCTGCATTGTATATATCATCTAGAGATGAAGATACATTTCTATATTGATCGATATCCGAACGATAATGAAGGAGTTTAGAGTCCCATGACTCTAAAAGAGCGACATTTTCTCTAATGGTATGACGAACAACTCCAACTTTGCCTTTGATAGTTTCTAAGTTTTTCTTCAGACTTTTGGCATTTTTTTGTTCCATATTATCAATCTCACTGATGCGTTCATTGACTATTTTGTCCACGAATTCATGCAAAGCTTTTCTTCTCAGATGCACTTTTGATTTCAGGATTACATTATTTTTGGGTATATCATTTACCCATTCCTCTAGCTGTTCGACAACCTTATCATATTCTGGAGCAATCTTCTCTTTTAGAATTGTTGTGTCATGTTTGATAATATTTTTCTTGGCATGATAAATATCTTTAATTTCGACAAAATCGTGGTTTTTGTGGAAAGTTGAAACAACACATTTATCGCAGACAGGAGTTTCACATTGCTTGCAGTATATTCCACATTTTTGGTGAGTGTGAGTTGGACACTGTGGATTTTGGATTGTTTCATATTTTAAAGAGTATTTCACTAAATCGTGATTCTCGGATGAGGTAGAAATCATATGTTTCCCAACACAAGCACAACAAAGTTGTACCCTGCACGTGTTACAGGAAAAATCTACCTTATTTTGGCACAAGCTGCAGGTGATCAAATCCTGCGCAAAACTGATGTCCGCTTCAGTATTTTGGCTGGCCATTCTGCATAAGACGGACATAAAATTACATTTTTTTAAATATCAAGATTTAAACAAAGTTAATTAAACTAGGTTTAATCCATTAAATTTTTTTTTAAAAAATGCTGAGTTTGGTATTTTCATTAATTACAATTTGAAAATTCTTTTTGATTAACTGGGGAACGAGTACGCGCCTTATGTAACAAAACTTGTGATCATTTTATCATAGATAATAAAAATTATTTTGTAAGTACATGTACCTTTAAGTAGCCAAAAAACAACACGATATGTCCTTTCTTACATGGGTGTTCTCCAAAAGTCAGTCCCTTGACGTTAATGTTTTATCTTAAAGCCTCGGAACACCTACAGACAGGAAGTTTAATATTTAGCATGTTGTTTAAACTAGACAATTCACGGTACAGAGATCATGAAACTTAAGATGCACCACGTGATCTACCTATTTCATTCTATAAAGGACAATAATTCAACATAGCAATTCAACAAGGGGCCAATGGGCCATAGAACTCACCTGAGTAATTAAGTTTTGACCTGTTGATTTTGAGATGATATAAAAGATTTTCTCCCTCTTTTTTCTTAGTTTAAAAGACGATCACTGACCCTTGCTGCTGCTACAGCATTAACACCACCCAACCTCAGATTATGTACTTTTCATAATTTTCAGAAAAAAGAATACCTTAACAAGCTTTCCTAATTATATCAACCTGAAATGCTCTAGCAACATGTAATTATACCGAAAATTTTAGAAAAAAATAATTTCAAATCTTTTTCCAAGCCTCTTTAAGTGTATGGTTTTGTGTGCAGCCATGTGAGTCTCACCAAAAATAAAAACCTCAATATCTTTGGAAATAAACCTTGATAACACCTGAAAACTGACTCATACCAAAAGTGCACCAACAATTTTTTTTTAATTGAACTGGTTAAATCAGTTAAGGGGTTAAGTATTACTCTATGGTTATACACAACTTAGGAAAATTAATGTTAGTAAATATTTTTCTTTTAAAAAAGCAATGCTAAATAAAATGTTAAAAATCTGCCTGGGAAATGAAAGTGTGCAATTCAAACAAGATGCCTGAGCCACAATGTTTACTTAAGTCGCCTTAGCCATGGTATTCTTAAGGAGGCTGGGGGGGGGGGTCAACAAATTAACCATCAGATATAACTTTATTTTTTAGATATGATATCTTAAGCTGTCAACTATGATTTGGCAAAGAAAAATTTCATACATTTTAGTTTTAAAATTTCCTCATTTTTGTATATCTTTATATGGAGCTCTTCTTCTAAAGGAGATCAATATAGTCTGAAAATGGCCACAACCACCCAGCCCTCTTAAGTTTTTTTTTTAAGAATTCTTATCCCTCTTTATTCTCATGAAAAATATTTGATCCGATATAGTGGCCCAACTCTAGGACCATAAGGTAATGTCTTGCCTAAACCTGATTCCAGACAACATCGGGATGCTTCATTATCAATATGACTAACATGGCCTGAATAGATTTTTTTCTTGTATACATGTTTTTATATGTCAATTTTGATCCCAGATTTTATCTTCATTCTAATCCCAGAGTCCATAATTTTGCGTATAAAAAATTCAACCCCTCCCATTTTTTATACCCCGGCCAAGATTTTAAGAACACTACCTGATGATGCAATAACATTGTTTCATTCTTTTTTTTTTAAATGACCCCGCCAAAATTCTATTATATTTTATTACTTCCCCCTTGAAAGACCCATGGTTCTTTATTCTTACAAACTTGAATAACGTTCATCCAAGGATGCTTTTTGGAGAAACTGAAAATGTACAAGTTTTAAGGACAATAGAGAACAGAGGAACAGACACCAGGCTTGCTTTGATTGGAAAAGCTCAATTTAGCCTTTCACTCAGGTGAGCTTTCTTAAAAACAATATTATTATTAATGTAAACAAGACGCCAATGGGCCACATCGCTCACCAGAGCACATTGGCTAGGAAAAAGCAGAAATCAGTTCAAATCATATATGGCGTATTTTTGATAAGTTCAGACTAACTAAAATTAAAAAAGATCTTTCTATTTGTTTCATTACTTTTTATAAAGATAGGACTTTCCTGTAAGTTACACAATTTAAATCAATCGCGTTTCATAGATATCAGAAATTTAAAACAATAACCGATTTATTTACCGACACCGCATTTAAATATCAGACACAATTCAAAGTCAATTTTATTATAGAAACGTAGGGTTATTTAAGTTCAATATTGATGATAATTTTAATTTGAACGTAAATAACAAATATCATGTTCATATACACTCAATCTCGTATTTCTATTTTTTTTTTTTTTAGCTCAGATACGCCATATATAGCTTTAAATATTGAATATATTAAATATGTAAGTGACCCCCCCCCCCCGGGTAAAGGGGGGCATGTTTTTTTTTTTACAATTGAATCTACACTAACGGAGGATGCTTCCATACTTCTTTGACTAATCATGGTTTTAGAAGATTTTTTCTAATTGTTTGATTTTCTATTGTGGCCCCAACCTACCCCCGGGGTACATGATTTGAAGAAACTTGAATCTACACTATCTGAGGATGCTTCTGCATTAATATGACTAATCATGGATTTGCTGTTCTTTGAAAAAAGATTTTGAAGACATTTCCTATATATTCAAATGTAAAACTTTGATCGCCCATTGTGGCCCCATCCTAGTTGGGGGGGGGGGGGGGAGGGGGGTCATGATTTGAAAAAATTGAATCAACATTACCTGAGGATGCTTCCATATAACATAACAAACCATGGCTTTCCTGATCTTGAGAAGATTTTCATTTATCATATGTTATCCGAAGACCCTCCCTACCTCCAGAGGTCATGATTTGAACAAATGTTAATCTACATGTACACTACCTTAGGACGCTTCCATATAAATATGACTTTTGCTGTTCTTGAGAAGATTTTTAAAGACTTTTCCTATGTATTTCTATTTCTCCTCCTAGGGATCGGGAGTTGAACAAACATGAATCTACACTACCTGGGAATGCTTCCATATAAATATGACCAATCATGCCCTTGTAGTGGTTCTTGAGAAGATTTTTAAATGACCCCACCCAATTTTTACTTTTTCTTAATTATTTTCCATTGGAAGAGGGCGTGGTCCTTCATTTGAACAAACTTGAATCCCCTTTACCCAAAGATACTCTGTGCCAAGTATGGTTGAATTTGGCTCAGTGGTTCTACAGAAGAAGATGGAATTGTAAAGTTTACGACGACGACAGACAACGGAAAATTTTGATCAGAAAAGCTCACTTGATCCTTCGGCTCATGTGAGCAAAAGAGTCACCAGAAAAGAATAAAACAATTGATAAATAAATGAACTTTTTAAATTGTATATCACTTCCATATTAAAATTATTTTTAACATGATAACAAACATATACAAGTTTACAAATCTTTGCGAAAGTTTCTAAAAGAGAAATGTATGATTTTATGAATTAGTTTCGCTCTTAATAATACAAACATACAGATATTTGTGATCTCTGTTCTAAGAATCGGTGTCATAAGAGTGACGTTAAAAGTGTTTGCATTTAATGCATAAAATTCACCGAACAAGAACACGTAAAGTACCACATCCTGTATCAAGGACCCCAAATGTTCTTCATTGTAAACTTGTTGAAAGTTCAAATGCTTATATGTGTTTGTACATAGCCATTATATGCCCTCTTTGTAATATTGTTAGGAAAGTTCACTACAAGTGTACATTACAAATATGAAATTAAAAAAGAACTTTTAAGTCATTTCATGTGAAACTAGATCATAATCTGCACAGTTGATCACTCTCAAAGAAGAAAGTTGAATTGAAAGTTACATATGTAAACCTTTGCATCATGACTAAGCATTAAGTATTCAATCACCTGTTGTCAAGAGAGACATGTAAATTTCAAGGTAAAAGGCTACAAGTCCTTCAACAAGGACGGTCGAATTGAAAATGTTTGTCAACACTAATTTGCATTGAAAATACCTAATTCTAAAATACAACTATGTATATTAAAAGATGATCAGAGTAGTTAACCAATACTAGAAGATAAATGAGCTTAATCTGTAACAAAGATGTCAACTATTAATAAGGTAAAGGTAAACTCGATTGATGGTCTCAAGTCATCCTACTAGATCATCCTTAAATGAAGCAAACAAGTTTCAGTACAAATTCTTTTAGTCAAATTTCGAAATCAGGATTGATAAAAAGTTTAACATATTCAAAATTGTATCAGATCGCGGGTGTTGTCACACTTAGGAAGTATTTATAAAAGTAATTATATAAAGATGTCTATTATATTATAAGATATAGGCTCATAATTCACAATAAACACAAAAATTCGACTTACCAAACTTTCACTTTAGCCGAATATCGTTTAAAAGACCTCAGAAATAAACTACACATTGTGAATATAGCTCAAAATTTTCATGCAATATGTTTTTTAATATTACTTAATAATATTATTAATATGTGTATTTAATATAAAGTATTTTACAAACTTACATGCAAAAGGAATGACAAAAATTATAAGTTCAGTCAGAACTGCTAATATAGTCGGCGCGTATTAAAATTGTTCAGGTCCATTGTAGAAATCAAGCAAGGAGTATTTCCAGATCTGACGTAAACATTGATGTTACTTTTATAATAAACAATATTTAATATTTCTATCGATTATTCTAATATCTGGAGAATTTTGAGAGATCATATTTCTTTCAAATTGCTGCGTGTTATTTGGGCACTGGAGAGATACACGTAGAACCAGAATGGCAGCAAACATTTGAATGTTTTTGCAAGATAAGTCAAATATATTGCTACATGGACATCGGTAGCTAGTAAATAGCTTATATTCGGTGTGAATGTCATGTGCCACTTGGAAAAATTGTTGAAAGCATACCTATATCTGTTGTATTTTCTGCTTTCGACTTTAGGCAATAGTTGGATAAGGATTCTGCGCGCGAGTTCCAAAAGAGAACGATCCTGCGCGCTACCAAACATGTT